TATTAGGGTTAAAAATTAAAAAGAACATATCCCGTAATTAGGTCACAATATTCTGTGGTCATCACCAAACTTAGTAACACCAAAAACACCACTAAATTTAAGCATAATTGAGAATAAAAGACTAAAATAATTCAGGTCTACTTTTCCTAATTGCGTGACACTCACGGAATAACGTTCAATGCCTCAATTGTGTGAACTTAATTACGGGAGTCACAAAATTGACACTTTCTTAAAACATATTTGCTCGATTTAACTATAAAACTTATCACTTATTATTTCTTAACAATAATATCACAAATTTATATTGAATAAGCTTACCAGTGTCACATAAAAATCTTAAGCAATGGTAGCGTCACATTAACCTAACTAACAACGGGACTGTACGTAATGGCGATCGGGTTATGACAGATGCGTTCAGAAGCTCTATATGGTTTTAAAAACTAATATTTAAAATGGAAAATCGTGCTCATTTGATGAGATTCGAATTATAGTTTATGTGGTATTGTTTAAAATTATTATTCACCGACTGTTTTCTTATTTTGCGATCAAAATGAAAAACTCCCGTAATAATGTACTATCCCGGAATAGTGTACGTTTATTTTATTTTGGAAATTCTGAACTTTTTTCAAAGCAATCGTACTGCTTTAAATGCATAGAGACTAATATATCGAAGGACGGATGAACAGAATTCTGTTCCACCTCACCTTTATTATAGATATGTTGATGACGTTCTGTTGTGCCTTGATGATTCTAACATTGTTGACAAATTAGACTCGTTTAATTCTTTTAATAAACATTTGCAGTTTACTTGTGAGATTGAGCCGGATGACTCTATTAGTTTTTTAGACCTAAGAATCACTAAAAATAAAGTAAACAATTCCGATCGGAATCTTTCGAAAGATTAGATAAAACAAAATTTTCTAAAATTTGTAGTGTTAAATCAGCCACAGGGGGGCTAATACTAGACCCCATGGGTAAACCAAAAATCTGCGAATAAAATTGATCATCAAAACAAAAGTAAGTGTTAACAAAAATGAAATTTAAAATCGTCTTATACCAAACCAAGTCAATCGAAGTGTGCGGTTGGATATCGTTCCAACGGACAGAAACAGCTTCTAAAGCCAAATCCCAAGGAATATTCGTGAAAAGGGAAATGACATCAAAACTAACAAAGGAAGAATTGGAAGGAATTGTAAAATTATTTAAATTTTTTACTAAATTAAAAGAATTGGAAACATTAAATTTTGATAAAACAGAAACCTTAGAGAGAATGGAGCTGATGTGTTTGGAGAGTTTACTTAAGAGAGAATTCAAGTCGGAAACTATAGGTCTGAGAGGTAAATTAGGTTTATGAACTTTAGGAAGACAGTACTACTTGGGAAAACTGGAATGAAAGACTTTTAAAGAAAAACCTAATGATTTGGAGATTTGTTTTTTTGTGATTAAATTGCCAATGAGTTTGTGCGTTTGTCTGTTTAAATGATCGGTGGGGTCGTTAGTTAAAAGTTTATAAAAAGTTCCGTTGTTTAATAGATAAATTGCTCAAAAACTATTCCAACACTCCTATCCCCCCTGTGGCTGATTTAACACTACAAATTTTAGAAAATTTTGTTTTATCTAATCTTTCTGTTCCACCTCACCTTTATTATAAATATGTTGATGACGTTCTGTTGTGCCTTGACGAATCTCACATTGTTGACACATTAGACTCGTTTAATTCTTTTAATAAACATTTGCAGGTTACTTGTGAGATTGAGTCGGACGACTCTATTAGTTTTTTAGACCTAAGAATCACTAAAAATAAAGTAAACAATTCGTCCTGATTGATTGGTATCAGAAACCAACGAGGTCAGGAAGATATTTAAATTATTAACTTCCCGTAGGGTAGTTATAGTAATGGGCCGAAAATCGAAAATGAAAATTTTTACATTTCTCGACGTTTTGAAGGTTTCTGAACATTTTGGCATACCTCATAAAAAATGGATATGGATGTATACGTGTGTGTGTGTGTGTTTTGTATGTCCGCTTTTTTTCGTCCACTTTTTCGGGCGCACGGATCAACTGATTTGAATGGTTTAAAAAACATTCGATTCCTATTGATAGGGAGATGTGCTGATTAGTTTTTGGCAAAGGCAGGTCCAGCCGTTACGGCGATATGGAGCAAAGAGTGCAGAAAATAGAAAGCAAGTTTTTGAGAGAACGGATCAACCGATTTGTATGGTTTAAAAAAATTCGATTCCTATATAGGGAGATGTGCTGATTAGTTTTTGGCAAAGGTAGGCCCCGCGGTTTCGGAGATACAGAGCTAAATGTTAAAAAAATGGCAGTTTTTGAGAGAACTAAGCGTCCGATTTAATTGTTTCAAAGAACTTTCTGCTTGTTTCAACAAAATAATTGATTTTGGAAAAAAAAATTTTGTTTCTAATTTTTTCTACACTTGTGCAATACATAAATAATATATATTTAATTAAATCCAATATCTTGTGTTTTATTAGAAATGTTTTAATTTATCACGATGCGCGGCGAGCAATGCTGTTGCTAGTCATTGCGAATGAGAGACGACTTACACGGGTTCTATATGAGCGCGAGCGTGTACTTGCTCAGGTTTTCTCTATTTTTGAATGTGTTCTACCACATGAAATGAAACAAAATTTTGCACACTAAAAGAAAATTCAATAGCCTTTCTAATGATGCTAATTAAAAATTAGTCCAAACAACCGCACTACCGAAAAATTCAAAACAAAAAATTATTCTCACTTTTTCATGCACTAAAAAATAATTATTAAACAATATTTGTTATCAATAATATAGTACACACCGATGTGAATAGAGTCCAGTTATTTGTTTGTCGATATCTCTCATAGTTGCGACAAAAAACGACTTTGAAAAAAGGGGCCACTTTCACACATTTTCAATGATATCTCGGCCAAATGATGAGCTACGGATTTGAAATTTGGTATATCGGATTTTCTCGAAAATACCTATAAAATTGCATCAAAATTATTTAAATACCAGGGTGGGGCCAATTCTGTATGGAAACACGCCCATACCCGTTATAGTTTCTCAAAAATCTATTTTTTCAGAGTAAATTTTTTTCAAAAATGTTAATCTTTTTTAAAAAAAATAATTTTTGGTACGGGAAGTTCCAGCAATTTGCCTTAAAGCACGATGCCATGCGCCCCACTAGTTTGTCTTTTCATTCGCATTCCATAGAAAATTCTGTCATTATCTCTCTTATAGACAGGGCTATTTTACTGAGTAACAACAGTATGTTTTGGGAAAAAAAATTGACCCTTATTCGTTCTGTTCTCAAAGATAATAGTTAGCCTTCGCACTTGATCAACAACATCATTAATAATAGATTAAATTATTTACAAACTAATTTTGATAATTCATTTTCACCTTCTTGTTCAAATTCAATAGCTTCTTCTCCCTCTCAATACAAAGGAACTATTTGTTTACCTTTTTTAAGCAATTTTTCGTATTTTCTAAAAAAGTACTTTTCTTCAGAAGGATTCCGTTTAGTTTTTAGTTTTGATAATACTTTTAATTGCCTTTTTTCGGTTCTTAAGTCTGGATAGGGTCACCGATTCCGTTTACAGGTTGGATTGCAATGATTGCAATATGTGTTATATTGGGGAAAGTTCCCAGAATATTTATAAGAGAGTTAATCAACATATTTATAATTGAAAAAATCCAAACCAGTTCAAAACGATGATTTCAGATCATATGCTCAATCTCAATCACACTTTTAACACTTCACATCCTGTTATTCTTTATATCGAAAAAAAAAATAGTGACCTTAGAAAATTTGCTAAATCCTTTTTTATTTCATTAAATTCCTCTTGTGTTAATAAACGCAATTTATCCCACCTTTTACATGATAATTACCAGCTAATTATTGATTTTATTAAAAAAAAAACAAAAAATTAATTTGCTATCTCCTTTATATTATTTTTACAATTTTGTTTTTTTCTTGTTCAAAATTTTACATGTTTCGCATTTTCCTTTAGATTAAAAATCCATTTCAACCACTCCGTTGAAATGGATTTTGTCCGTCCATTGTCCATCCATTTGTCCATCGACACATTCCCCTTCTATTCCTATCAACACGCCTAGTGAAAGATTACAGTCGAGTCTTTTGCTCGGTATGGGCGTGTTTCATGCGTCATAATGTTACATTTCAAAACTTTTAGTTATTCATAATTTTTTTTCCCAAAAAAAATTTTTTTTTCTAATATGTTACAAGTTTAATTTTTTTTTAAATAAATTTTTTGAGTGTTTTTGACCTGTGGTGTGCATAATGTTTCTCTATGTTATAATTAATCTATATTGGTGTTATATTAGTAAATAAAATTTTCAAATTGTTGTAGTTGCTAAATGATGACACGCATCTTGTGTCGAAACGTATAAATAAAAGTTTTTATACTTTATACCTTTTTCATTTCGACGAATGGTCTGCTAGTTACTTTGAAATATGTTTCAACGTCGAAAAAACTATCAAGATATATATATATATATATATATATATATATATATAATATATTATATATATATATATATATATATATATATATATATATATATATATATATATATATATATAATAAATGACAAATTTTACACATAAAAAATATATCATTTAAAAATCTATTTTACTTTATGATATAAGTAATATTATTTTGTCTGTTGTAACGTCTTTTCGTTGAAGTACTATTCTATATATAGTAGTTATTAAATCACTTATAGATAGTCATGATGAATCCTGTTTTGAAATAACATCGCGGCCTATTTATAAGGCGGCTTATCTCAAGTCGTGGAATGTGTTCCTGGACAGTTTTGGTGCATATAACTTAGCCCACACTTAAGAGTATTTAAATTAAAAGTATCGGATTGAAAGTGAAGGACAATTTAATGATTATCTACACATAAATGCAATAATTTTGTAATAACCTGCTTTCATAAATCGCAAATTTCTGAAAATCTATAATACATCCGTTTTTTATACATTTATTTACTTCTATAATATTCAAAGGTACTTTTTGACTGACAAATTCAAACATAAAAAGTTAAATAGGGCATATTGAAATAAAACACTTTGTTACACTTCAAAATTTAAATCATGTCATACTTTGTGAAAATTACTTCATTTACAATCCTTCTCATTGCTAGAATCTATAAGAAAACCTTGTTCCTTATTTTGACAAACTTTGGATGTTTCAGAAATTTCATTATATTTCTTCTTTGCCCCCACCATTAAATGGCTTAGATTTTTCACTAATTCACTAGAAGAGCTGAGAGAATCCTCCATATCAATCACATCATCATGTTCAAGTTCAGATTCTACTATTTTGTTGGACAAACTCCTCACAGTAATTTCTTCATCTAAAAAATATCAAATATCAGTGACCTAAATTGCAAATTTAACCAGAATCTTTCAGAATATACAAAATATAATATATACAATCCTCAAGATGTATATATGTATATATATATATATATATATATGTATATGTATATATATATATATATATATATATATATATATATACCGGTGTATAAATTTCAAACCGCCCGCCATTTACTGATAGCCATATTAATTCATATATAGATGGCTGTAGTAGTCTGCCAGTTTTTTCTTATTGTTTTGACATCTATCCATAAAAAAAAATACCCACTGTTTCAATATTTCAATATTCAATATTCGTACATAGCTTTTCATCATTTTGAAAATGTCGAATTCAGCGCCAGAAAATGTGGTTTTGCGGAAGAACCTTCTTTCATTTGAAAAAAAAGTGCTATATATATATAAATATATATATACAGTAAACCCTCGCTTTACGCGGCAAGTGCGTACCGTGCAGTATGGGAACCGTGCTATAAGAAACTCGTATTTAACATACAATTCAGGCTAATTCGTAGTGCGTTCTATGGAACCTTACATAGTGCAGTATGGGATCCGTGCTATGAGAGACTCACAGTTGGTACAAATCGCACCATTTTTATCGCGCTGTATGGAGACCAAGAAATACCACTTGAAGTAGGAGTAATACGGACGAAATGACATGTAGGGCATTGACACGATTGACACCTTATTCAAAAATTGGCGCGACGCAGTAGTCAGCTCAAACGTGTTCTTAGGCGGCTAATATATAAACAGGCATGTCTAAAAGATAAAAGTCAATAACAAAATTTACATCAATACCCTTTTGCACAACGAACTTATGGGCTGTTGACCAAATACCGTGTAATAAGAAGTCCGTGTAGTCGGAGGGATGTCGGATTTTTAGATTCGTGTAATATGGGAACCGTGTATCCAGAGTGCCGTGTAAAGCGAGGGCCTACTGTATATATATATATATATATATATATATATATATATATATATATACCAGGTGTATAAATATCAAACCGCCCTCTTTTAAGTTGAAAAAACACGTTTATTGTAAGAAAATGGTACAATTTATTTCATTCAAAGTATTTGCGACACATTTTTGCCATCTTTCCGCCAAATTGTGAATGCCTTGCCAGTAGAAACGTTTGTTTTTTGAATCAAACTATTCACCGAGCCATTTTTCCAATTCTTCGTAAGAACCGAAGTGCTGTTCAGCAAGCGCGTGTCCCATGGAAGAAAACAAGTGGAAGTCAGAAGGCGCCAAGTCTGGTGAGTAAACATTAAACGTAAGGAAATGCATGCTTGTGTCACATTTAATTGTTCTGCAAGTTGTTTTTGAGTTTGACTGTCATCGTCATCGAGCAATGATTGCAGTTCGGGTTCTTCAAACTTTTTTCGTGGTCTTCCACGTTCTTCGTTTTTCAAATCAAAATTACCACTTCTGAATCGTCAAAACCACTCCTTGCACTGTGTTTCGGACAGAGCATTGTCACCGTAAGCTTCCACCAACAAACGATGACTTTCAGCAGCACTTTATATACAGGGTGGCTGATATGTATTGCAACCAATTTCAGACCGCTATTATTTCTAAACCGCTCATCAGACAGATGACAGATTTATTCCAGTGATTGTTCATTTAATTGTTTACAAGCGTACAAAAGCATTTTGATCTATTGCATTCAGAAAAAAAATTATTCGTTATGGAAGTCAAGCGTGATAGTGCGATTGCTTCATACTTGGCTGGAAAACCTTAAGTGGCTATATTTAGAGCCCTCCAGTATTTAAATGCAAACAAATATTTTGTTTCTCGTACCATATCTCGTAACCGTGATACATTCAGTGTTGCACCTCATCCAAAAAGTGGACGAAAAAAAACACTAATCAATCGAAATTCGTGCAAAAACGGATGCAACACATATTGAAAAATGAGCTTGGACTAAGGCCATTGAAGTTCCAAAAAGTTCAAGAGCTCATCGATACACAAAAAAAAGTTAGACGGGAAAGAGCCAAGGGGTTGCTTCGCTTGCACGAAAGTGGCTAGTTACCGAATTTGGTTTTCTCATATGGAAAGTCCTTCCAAATCGAGCAGTTTGTGAACAAACAAAATAATAGGGTTTACTTGCCAAAAAGGTCAGCTAAAAATTTACACCTTCGATTGGTCCCCAGAACTCAAGCGCCGCCGACGGTAATGGTGTGAACCATCGTAACGGCCGATGGTAAAATTCCGCTCTTATTCATCATCCGTGGGATCAAAATAATTGCCGAAATTATCGGGAAAATGTCTTAAAGGCAGTATTGAAGTCCTGGGTAGACAAAAATTTTGATCGCAGACCATGGACATTCCAACAGGACTCAGCACCATCAAACTCAGCACGCGTCTACCAAAAATAGCTTATAAAAGAGGTTTTTTTCTTCATTTCCATCGCACAATAGCCACCAAAATCTCTGGATCTAAATTCGCTGGATTTTTGTGTCTTGGACATTTTGAAGAGTAAGGATCGCACTAAAAAATACCAAAGTGTCGATCATCCCAAGAAGGCGCTTCGCCGGGAATGGGCCAAAATACCCCTGAGCCACTTTCGTGCAGCGTGTTATGGTTTTTCTGCCGTCTGAAGCCCATAATTCGTGCCAAAGGTGGCCGAAGAACAAATATAAACTGATTCTAAAATTTGATGTTATTTCTGACATTTTTGCATTTAAACAATGAAATTTAAAATGAAAATGACAAAGTTATAGCGCTTTACTTTGTTGCAATACATATCAGCCACCCTGTATATATATATATATATATATATATATATATATATATATATATATATATATATATATATATTCAGTCTTCAGGGCAATACATCAATTAGATGTGTCTTCAGGGCAATACATCAATTAAAAAATTTGTATGTCTTTAAAACATTTTTATTTTTTCCATATGTTTCGACACATTGTTTTGTGTCATCTTCAGTGGACTCTAGTTTGAAGGAACAGAGAAATTATTAATTAAAACTAATATATAAGAAGTGATATGGTATGAACTTACATGTAATTGAATTAATCCTAATTATTTCATAATTATAAATGTTCACAATACACCAAAAAACCAATTCTTGTCAATTTAAATTGAACAATATATAAATTTTCGAGACATTGTTTAAAACTACTTGGTAATTCTCACAAGTGAGGAAGTATCCAATCTTTTGTTTAAGCTATTTTTATAAAGGTGCATTAAACATGATTCTGAAAAGCGTCTCTGCGATGTATTCGACTCCTGATATAAAATTGTGGCAACATCAAAATTGAAAATATGATTGAAACTTTGTATGTGGTCAGTTATCATTGTTTGATTTTGATTTTTAATTTTGGAGTTGTTATAGTGTTATCTAAGACGCTTTTTAGATGTTGTCCAGTTTCGCCAATATAAGTGGCCTCACAATTTGTACAGTCAATTTTATACACAATGTTAGAAATACGATCTAAACTTGTCGGTTATTTTAAATTCGAAAATAAAAAGTTAAGAGTCTGATCAATATTGCAAACTAAACGCAAATCCGCGAATTCAAATAGTTTTTTCCAAATAGGAAAGAGATTTTTAATGTAAGGGAGACAAATAGTGCCGATAAACTTATTTTCTTCTTTTTTCTGGGACTCGAGGGAAGGATGATTATGTTTTGTGTTAAGGACGGAAAGCCTGTTGTTGATTACTGATTTTATAAGATGTGGAGGATAGCAATTATTTAATAGGGTTCTATGGATTAGAGATAAGTTAAAAGGCCAAAATATTTTATCCTGCAAGAGAATAGCATGATCAACTAAATTGATAATAGTACCGATTTTCATGTTAGTGGGATGATAAGAATGGAAGTTGAGATATCTGCCAGACCACGTTGGTTTTTGGTACCAGTTAGTACTAATTTTATTTTTTTAGAGTTTTTATGATATTTACATCTAAAAAGCTAATTGACCTATTGTGTTCTTTTTCGAAGGTGAAGGTGAGGTGTTTATTAAAGGAGTTAAAATTTTTTAGTAAAGAATCAAAGTTATTTTTAGGAATGCAAGTAATTATATCATCAACATATCTGTAGTAAAGGAAAAATTTAACATTAGATAGTTTAAAGACGTTTTTTTCGAGGTGTTGTAAAGAGAGTTCAGCAAGAGCAGGTGAGATAGGCAATCCCATGGGTGTACCAAAAATTTGTGTATAAAAATGTGAATTGAATTCAAAATAAGTATTCGCGACTATGAATTTAATGGACAATTGAGAGAAAGGGTAGTGTGGCAAGAAATCTCATCCCATCTATCTGTGATTGACTCGATAATTAGTTCTAGTGGGACATTTGTGAAAAGAGAAACTACATCTAGGCTTATTAAGAGGGAGTTGTTAGGCAATTGTGTATTACGTATTTTGTTGGCAAATTCGAAGGAATTTTTAATAAAGAAAGGATAATTAACATCAACTATGGAAAGGGGTTTGCTCAGAAATTTGGAAAATTTATTTAGTGGAGAATTCAAATCTGCAACTATAGGTCTAAAAGGTACATTGGTTTTGTGGATTTTTGGAGGATCGCATAATTTTGGGTTGTTAGAATGTAGGTTTTTTAACGACAAGGACAAGTCTTGTGGAATTTGTTTAGTAGAAACTAAATTATTAATGAATTTGTGGAACGTGCGGTTGATTCGATCTGTAGGATCGCTATTGATAGGACTGTAAACGTTAGTGTCATTGACTAGACTAGTGATTTTTTCTAAATAGGTAGTTTTGTCTAGAATTACTGTGACATTTCCTTTATCTGCTCTGGTTACTAAAATATTCGGATTATCTTTGAGAAAGTGTTTACAAAGTTTTATGTCTCTGTCGGCACCCGTGCATCGGAACACAGAATAGCGGGATGTACTTTACAATTTCATAAAAAAACTCAATCGAAAATTTATATATTGTTCAATTTAAATTGACAAGAATTGGTTTTTTGGTGCATTGTGTTCATTTATAGTTATG